CTCCTTTGAGGGTGGACCATGCAGTTAACAGTGGCCATATTCAGATGTTTGTATAAACAGGTACGTACGTTGTTCAGGGACGCTGGACCCGAGCAGGTGCTGCTCCCCACCAATAGATGGAGCCTTCCCGAGAGTGGTAGTGGTGTCTGCTCCTACCAGCACCCCTATCACCACCTCCGGCTGTTCATCCAAAAAACGAAAACAAGAAGAAAGAAAGGGCCCCGGTTGAAGGGGACTGGGGCCTCACCACCGGAGAGGCTGGCGTGGGGTGGTCTGGGGTGTGACCTCAATGTCAGACAATCCGTGGGATCAAAATGGGGCGCTGGGCCCAGTTCTCAGCATGTGCTGCTCCCTACGGATAAGATTGCAGCCATCGCACACCGCTGCCCCTACAACAAGCAAGGCCCTTTATCCCCGCCTGCAGCAGGGGCACCCAGGGTGATGTTTCATTGAAAGGGAAAAAAGGGGGTAACTATGGCGCAGTCACGTTTTCAGTTCCGAATCCACTTCAGGCATCCCTCGAATACAACAGATCCCACCCAACCCTAAAGCTGGGTTGGATACATTCACGATTTCCAAAGCAAAATTCGTGAAACCATGACTAAAACGCATTTAAAACTGAAAACCTTGACTGCGCCCTAGTTTCCCCCCCCCAAAAAAAAACACACGGTAGACTGGAATACCCTTCTGAAGCTCTGACAATAAGGAAACCTTGCAGAATACCCTTCATATCGGTTGAACCGGTCATCTTTGCAATATTTGTGAGGATTTAGTACCTCGGCAGTGCTGGAAAGGTGCCGTGCCCGCCCTAAGTGAAGGCGGGCCTGCAAATATGTGCCAATGCCTGTTTATAGCCCTATGAGACCAGGCTGAGGGGCCCAAGCAGAGCCTGTCGGAACCCCTATTTGGGCATGGATCTTCGACAAGGGCTTGCTACAAGTTAGCTCCTCAGCATGCCCCTGTAGGGCCCTTTCACCAAGCATGAGCCCGCCCTACGTGAAGGCGGGCCCCTGAATTTCAATATGACCCGAGTTCCTCAATTTTGGCAAAGTTTGGTGGGCGCCAGACAGTTGCCGCGCGCCAGTTGGTTACATCCTCTGTACTCGTGAGAATCAGAAATAAATCGCGAGCCTTCTAGGCTCTTCCAGCAGCACAGACGAAGCAGGGAGAACCTCACATTTACTCCTGGGTGGTTGGGCAGGCCTAACCAATTCGGTCCCAGGCCACTCTCTGAATGGGCCTGGGCGCAGACACTCTGGCCCAAACGGAAGCTACTGGAAACACACGAGGCCCAGCCAGACAGCGAACTGGGCGAGCACTTTGCATAAGGGAAAGAGCTCGCCACTGGTCGGCTCATTCAGGCACTAGGCAGTGCATGCGGCAGCGCTGCTTGAGCGTGCGCTGTGCGCTAGCGCTAGGTGCCAGGCAGTGCGCGCGGTCACTGGAAGAAGGCAGGGCACTGCTGAGGGCAGCACTATAGCCAGCCCTACATAGCCAGGTCTTGCTTGGATAGCCAGTGGAGGTGGTGGTGGTCTTCGTGTGAGGAGGAAGACGTGGGTAGACAAGACGAGGGAGAGAGAGAGAAATGAGGATGATGATTAGAGGGCACGTACCTGGTCTTGGCGATGGTCTACTGGGTCAACATCTTCATGTACTTCAGCTGTTGCTGCTGATGTCAACATGATGCATTGTCAATTCGTAGGCTGGTAGTAGCTGTGTGATAGTAGTCTGAGCGCTGAGCGCCAAGGAGGAGGAAGGGCTCTGGATACATATGTTGGTGTGGTGGTGAGAGTATGCTCTCATTGACATTCGGATTCCGTGCTGCGGTTCTCCGTTGGTGTAATATCAGTGCATTTCTGCTTTCTGGACAGCGTTGGACTTTCTGGCTTTCAATGTGATTTTGCATTCTGGATTTTTCATTTTTCGTCATTTCGCTATATCTCATTTTCCTTGCAATTTGGTATCGGAGCTGGTTCGAGCCGCTCCGCTGGCTCCTTCGCAATAGCTGATTGGAGCTTCGCTGGATACGGTGGGGCCGTGACAACACTTGTGCTTTGGGTAGTGACGGTGGCCCAGTGTCGTGCGGGTGCGCCAGGAAGGCTATGTGGTGACATAGGGCTTAACACTGAATGATGAGAGTTTGTTGACATGGCAATTTACGCTGAGGTGGAACTGCATTGCATTGTGGATGTGTCGAGGCGTTGACCAGTCATCATTTTTTTTTATTTTTTTTTTAATTTATTTAAAACAACCGGATCAGGTGCTAGATGTGCTGATAAGAGCAGTCATCATAAATGCATGTCAGGTTACTGGTGAGGAATCTGTGGTTGGGGGCAGCATTATGAGGTGCGTTGCTCCTTACCTTATCTACCCTCTTTGTTACTTTTTACCATGAGGAAGTGAGTTCTGTCTTGAGAGTCCTCTCATTGTGAGGTGTCGCGAGTGCTGATTTCACTGTTCAATTAAACTCTCCAAAAACATTCCTCCTCTTCCCCTGTCTACACCACCTGCTAATAACACATGCCTTGACACCTGAGGACGCTGGACCCATTTTCCAGCAGGCGCAGCTCCCCACCAATAGCTGGAGCAGCAGGGACAGTTACTAGAGGTGGCTGCTCTTACTACCCCCTCTAGTAGAGGTCGCTGGTTAAAAAAAAAAAGAAAAAAAAAAAGGAGGAAAAAAAGTTACCTCTGCTATTAGCTGACGATGCACCACCTGTGGATGCATTCATAGATCCTCTCAGCATCGTCTGCTAATAACACACTCAAAGTATCTGAACTGATGGCTGACGATGCATGAGGGTTGAATGCGCCACGCTTTTTCACCGAATGGACCCTTCTTACACCGCCTGCTAATAGCACAGACTTTGGTCTTGACAAATCTGGACTATTAGCTGACGGTGTATGATTCCACAAATCTCCTGATTCATTGTGCATGTGTCTGAGGCTGTAGGGGGATTGATACGACAAAGCTACGTGTCTTTTACGAAGCTCCATAAGTGACAAGTGGCAACATCTGACGTCAGTTTAGATACGGATGGGCTCGAGTGTACCATGAATGCTACGGGGTCCATGGCATGATATGCCATGGGATATGATTGGATACACACACACACACACACACACACACACACACACACACACACACACACACACACACACACACACAGTGGCACACACACAGTTTTATGCCTGTCTACGCACACACAGTCCGTTTTATGCTTGTCTGTCTTTTGCTGTTTGTCTCTCCTTTCCCTGATCTTTTGTAAGTATTTTTAGTATGCCCAACTGAGCACCCTCAAGCAGTGCCAAACAGTCAGTCATTCCCCGTTTGGAGTGTCTGCAGCGCTCTTAGGGGGGCTGCTCAGTTCGGAATGTCAATCTGCCCTACGGGTGATGATGGATGTTCGTCGGAGTGCCTCCCTGGCTCAGTGGCCAACAGTCTGTGGGGTTCACCTGTGATGTGAGTAGGTCATGTGTCGGTTTGCCCCATGTTGGATGTGTGGATTGCCTCGTCTGCGTTGCGCCGCTGTCTTGCTGCCCATCCCGCTTGCTTCGCAGGTCGTTCTTGGCCAGCTGCTGTGTTTGCTATGTGGTGTGGCCGTGTTGTTGGTGTTGCCGTGCGCTTCGCTGCTCCGCTGCCTTACCGCCCATCCGCAGGCCATGCCTACGGTTTCTTTTGCTTGCTTACCTTGTAGTTCAGTTGCCTTGTTGGTGTTGTCTTGCACTTCACTGCATGTTTGCCATGCTGCTCGTCTGCTCATCCTGCCGTCCCTTGCAGTGGGGTTGCTTTGTTGGTGTTGCCGTGCACTTCACTGCATGGTCACCGCGCTGCGCGTCAGCTTGCCGTGTCGTTTCCTTGCAGCAGTCTTTGGAATTAAGCAGCCGTGTTCCCTCTGCAGCGTTGCCTGGTACTTCGTTGGGTTGCTGGCCGCTTGCTGGCCGCTCCTGTGTTCTGTTTGGGGACAGTCTGCCTTCAACAAGGGTCAAAGGGTTCAGGACCCAAACCATCCAATGCGGAGATTCCGCAGATTGTTGAGGGTTCAGCCTCCTGATGAGTCGGGGCAACTTCGGCGAAACAATCTATCATCTGGTTATTTCTCTCGCTCTTTCATTTTTTGGAACTTGAATATTTTTTGCTGCTCTTCTGTTTTGCTACTTGTGTGCCCGCCTGCCTCTTCCATACCCTCCAAACAACGCGTTTTGCTTCGCTATCTTTCGTGCCTTGCTACTTCGTGTTGTTTGTCTGCACACCCGCCCCTCCACCCTATGTCTTTTGCTTCACTGATTTCATGCCTTGCTGCTTTGTGTTGTTTGTCTGCCCGCCCACCTCCCCCATGCCCTCCAACCTTTGTCTCTTGCTGCTCGCTGCTTTCCCGATGCCTTGTTGGTTTCAGCCCTTTGCTTTCCTGTCTTTCGCGCATTGTTGCCTTTGCCTTTCTACTTTTTGGCTCGCTGCCATTGGGGTTGAGGCCTTTGGTTTGTCGTCTGTTGTTTTTCTGGCCTTTGCATTACTTTCTGTGCGTTCGTCTGATGGTCATACCAGGTTTCCGGTTCATTTTCAAGTGTTCTTATACGCATGCTTTTTGACGCAACATGCCGTGGCGTGGTTGCAGCAGTACTGTATCGAGCTAAAACACACACACACACACACACACACACACACACACACACACACACACACACACACAGAGGAGGAATTTATTATTCCCCCTTACTACTCTCCACTAATTGCAAAAAAAAAAAGGAAGAGTCTACTATGACTCGATGGGTATCGCAAGGCTGGGATGACGAGAGACGACCATTCGCGCAAGGAAATGGACAAGCGAGTGACGGCGATGGCTCTCAATGTTCAGAATGGGTTGTGATGTCTATACATAGTACAGGAAGATAGAAGTAACTAGCAATACGTCAACAGACGCCAAATTAATGTAGAACGTCATTGAGATCTCCACTTTCAGGAAGAGAAACCAGAAGGCCACAACCCGCCCGCCAATACGACTGCCATAGCAATGTGCCACCAGACCTTGCAACAGACATGGCCGAGCTGCCACACATATAACAGACGTGATAGAAATGCCATCATATCTTACCAGAAATCAGCGCAAATCACAGAAATTCCCATCATTTCTCTTGCTGCCGTTATGTCAGAACCCCAACCATACCTCCTCAGGTATGCCAGAGCTGCCACATACATGTTTTTTTTTTTTTTAAAAGGGATGTTTGCTTTGCATTAAAACCAAATCAAGGATGCTGCGACATACATCATTGATGCCAGAAACACCACCTTACTGTACTGTCATTGCAGAAGTGCGGCCATTTCATCTAGGAGCTGCGGCCATTCCTTAACGAGGATGGCAGATCCGTCACGATATCTCACAAACATGAAAGGAGAAATGGCACTATATCTCTTAACAAACACGGCAGAAATGCCGCCATATCGTCCTGTGATGGTCGCACCGCTACCTCTCTTACCAGGGACAGATGCCATGGCGGCCACAGACACGACATAAATGCCAACATGCGTCGGCAAGTCGTCACAGAACCGATGCCACCACCTCTTAACAGACATGCAAGATCTGACACAAACATGACAGAAATGCCACCCACTACCGGATCTTAAACCACCAGCGCACAGCCCCAGCCTTGCAGATATTTGTTCGTCGCCTACTCAGAAAACACTTCGCGGCTCTGGCCTACCAAACCGCAATGGCCGGCGTTCTGCCAGCCAAAAGAGAAACGAAGTGCATTGCCGGCAGTTGGGAAAGCGCTTGGCGCGCGGTGCAGCGCTTCCAGGCCCTGGTGTACGACTGGTGGTTTGACATAAGTGCCACAACTGCCGCAGAGGTGACAGACATGCCACCACAGCATCTTGCCGTCATCGCAGAGCCGCTGCCGCCCACCACCTGACGTGATGGAAATGCCACCACCATATCTTTCAGTCATCGCAGAACCGGTCCCACATCTTAAACCACCAGTACTTGGCCCACACATTGGCCGCGGGCGATTGTCATGTACGTGCCGCGACTTTCAGGGCTTGGCCTTCGAAGCAAAATGGCTGGTGGCGCCCGCCAAAAGGAGGCCGCGTTGTTTCGTTTTCTTCTGGCGTGCAGGGCGTTTCCAGGCAGGATTGGAGAAAAGTGCTTCGGAAGTACTCTGGTGGTTTAACAGATGTGCCACAGCGGTCGCAGAGAAGACAGAAATATCACCGCCATGTCTCGCAGTTCTTGCAGAAATGCCCCCCATCAATCTTGCCGTTGTCGCAGAACTGCCACCATGTCTCGACGGACATGCCTGAGCTGCCACCGTTCCCTAAAGAACATGACAGAACGCTCACCCTATCTTACAGGCAAACCTGCACAGAGTGGTTGCATAACACCGAGCAGTACTTGCGGAAACGCCACCACCATATCTCGCAGTTCTTGCAGAAATGCCCCCTCATCAATCGTCCAGTCGCCGCAGAACTGCCCCTGTATCTTGACAGGCATGCCCGAGCTGCCAATATTCCTTTTTAAGGAACAAGACAGAACTGCCATCCTATCTCACAGGCATGCAAACGGACGCAAACCTGTACGAGGCAGAGGTTACATGACGCCAAGCAGTGCGGAGTCTTCTACAGACAGAACAGCTGCTGATGCAGTGGCTACACTTCCCTCAGAGGGAAACAGCCACTTCTTGCTTCACAAAGAACATGGCATATTTCATGTCGCTGTGCGCTGACTATAATGGACAAAAGCTTGAATATAGCTTGAAGCCTTGAATACAGCTTGAATAGCTTCAACAGCTTGAATAGCTTGAATAGCTTGAATAGCTTGAATAGCTTCAACAACTTGAATAGCTNAGCTTGAATAGCTTCAACAGCTTGAATAGCTTGAATAGCTTGAATAGCTTGAATAGCTTCAACAACTTGAATAGCTTGAAAAAGCTTGAATAGCTTGAATAGTTTAAGGAAGACTTAGATTGAGTAAAATGGTCTCTATCCCTGTAAGAATTCAGGAGATCCATCTATGTACTGATCCCTACCCCAACAAACTAGTTTCATCACGGATGAACGCAAAACCAAAAAAAAAAAAAAAGAAGAAGAAAACAGGCAAAAAGTTCAGGAATGATGAACCAATTCCTGGGGCGAGGTCCCACTAGCATGGATCATGAGATATTGCCCCTTGCTTGATCTTCTTAATCTACGGCCAGTATCTTGTAATCCGCGCAAGTGGGACGTTGCCCCTGTCGGAGTCTGTTCTGAAGCTGTAGCCGGGGGAAAAAAAAAAAAAAAAAAAAAAAACTTCGCTGTTTTTAAGACACCTGTCTATGCCAACATAAGATTATATTTCCCTATCAGTATTTTTTACTACCTTGCCTGTTTTCAAATCAGAAGGAGAAAACCTTGAAAACGGACGAGTGAGCAATGCTCTCTGCCAAAGCCTACGGTACAGCGTAAATAGCTCCACCAGATAACCCCTAATCGTTTAATAAGTGGGGTCTGTAACCCCTACTTGTCTAATAAGTGGGGTCTGTCTAATCACTGGTCCTTATACGGTTATGAAGTGAGCCCTCACGAAAAAGACGGTGATGAATCCGGGACGCGAAAATGGCAGTTGTTGATTGCCAATGTGAGGAAGGAAAAAAAAAAAAAAAAAAAAAAAAAAAAAAAAAGGCAGGAGAACATTGTGTGGTTGACTCTTACAGATGTTACAGAGGAAATGAATAGAATGTTGTTCTGTGTCACACGCACCGGGCAGCGGCGTTCACATCGCTTGCCGAAGACAGTATAGTATAGTATAGTATACAGGTCACAGTGTTTGCTAAGGACAGACTATAGTATAACTGTTTGAAACGGGCTAACACGGTCTATACCAGGCTTGAGAAGGAGAGAGCCAATGGCAGAAGTGTGCTTTTGAGGTTGGGATGCTCATATCAACCCCAACCAATAGCAGCCTGAGCAATTGCTAGCTTAAAAAAGATGCGTTCGAAGTCCGAATTTCTGAAGTCCGGATTTCTGGAGTCCGAATTTCTGGAGTCCAAATTTCTGGAATCCGAATTTCTGGAGTTTGCGGCCATATACAAGGAGGCTGCGCTTCTCATTCCGAATCGAACGCAAATTCTGAATTTCTCTCAAGTTTGCGGCCATGTACAAGGAGGCCGCACTTTCAATTCAATTCACTGGCCTGCTGTTGTGGCCGGTTCAAATTTCCGTCGAAAATTTCGAGGCAACGCTACACAGACAAAACCACCCGTTGCAAAACGGGTGGCTTAAGCTTCTTCAAAGGGGAAATTGACATGGATTCTAGAAAGACAAAACAACCACCTCTACCTGTCTGGGAAAAACAAAACAAAACAAACCCTGAACCAAAAAAAAAAAAAAAAAAAACAAGCCACCCGCCCGGCAGCGAAAAGCTAAAGAATGAAAAAAGTCAAAAAAAAGAAGGCAGAAACGAAACGCAAGACGTGTGCCACGGGACCGAAACTACACCCTCTCTTGAAAGAAAGAAAGTGGAACAAGGACAGCTGACTGGTACTAAGAAGGACAACTACAACCCCCTAGCCCCTCTGCTTCTCCCGCACTCCCGCATCCTTTTGCCCAACCTGAGGAGCCAACTTACCTCCAGAACACCACCTACTCCCAAAAAAACATCACTAGACATAGCGCAGCGTTAAAGACCCTAAAAGGCTAAAAGTTCTAAAACCACTAGAGATAGGAAAGCTAAGGACACCAGCTCTGTGTGAAAGAGAGATTTGACTGAAAGATTGGACTTGAACTAGCATTCTGCCTGTGTGTGAAAAGTTGAAAACCCTAAAGGGCCTAAACTTTCCTTCGGCATATATCCATTAAAATTGGAACGATAGTACGATACAGAAAAGATCGGCATGGAATTAAAAAAAAAAGAAAAAA